GTGAACCTACACACACAGTAGTCAGATACCCTGAACGTGTGAACCTACACACACAGTAGTCAGATACCCTGAACGTGTGAACCTACACACACAGTAGTCAGATACCCTGAACGTGTGAACCTAGCTAACTCAAGTGACCTCCAAAGTTTCCCATCACGACCGCACTTTTCTGGATCAACTGATCAACACCATACCAGTGTGTTACTTTGTATAGGTAGGAGTTTTACGGCACTTGCAACGAAATTAGTGCGTATGAGTGCCGAGGATTAGAGGTGTTACAAGAGAATAACAAACACAAACAAGAAAAGGAAGAAAGTAGTCAGGGAATGTGCTGTGTTTCCAGGAAGGGAGAGAAGTTGGGGAGAGGAGAAGTGGGGTAGATGGGGTGGGAATGAGGGGGAAAGGGTGTGTTGGGTGGGAGGGAGAGAAGTGGGGTAGGGTGGGTTGGCATTAGAAAGGGGATCGGGGATGTGAGGTGGAAATGTATGTCAAACCATTTATTGTGTCGATGATGGGTCGGGTAGGGTGGGGAAGATAAAAACATGCATTATTTCCCAGGTAGACTTCTTACATACAGATAGTTGTTGTTTTTTTAAACTAACATACATACACAATCTTTTTTTTTCTAATGCACAGCAAGTTTAAAAAAAATACAATATATAGATTTAATGCTCTTTTTTACAACACAGCAAGAGGTAGTAGTTTTTTACTAATAGCTGGTACATTATTACTAATATATGGCTAGTCCATTTTTACTAACATAAAACAAGTACATGTTTTTACTAACATATGACAAGTACTTTAAAAAAACTAACATACAGACAATACTTCTTAACTAACCTACAGTTAGTACTTTTTCATTAACATACAAACAGTACTTTTCTACTAACATACAGATAATTACTTTTCTATTAAAATATTGATAATAGTTTTTTTTATTATATAGGGTCATAGCTACTTTTCGGTACCAACAGGAGATAATCATTTTCTATGAGTACATAGATAATAATTTTCTACTAGCACATTGAAATCAGTTTATTTTGGAATTAAAGTATAATAATATTCTATGAGAATGTTTTATACAAATAAAACTAAATGTTGAGGAAAATTATGACTTATGCATAAATCAGTTGAGACAAAACCTGACCGAAACTTCTCAACAGCCTTGAGCACACTTTCAGGGTCAAAAGCTGGTGAGGGCCAGACAACGGTGGAACCATGGGTGATCGCCTGCATACTGCCCATCACCATACCAAAGCAGTGGTACAGCGGCACTGGACAGCAGATGACCGCTTCCTGTACACAGGCATACAAGGAAACAGTCACAATTTGATTAAATGGCACTTGGCATTTTGTCGCCATTGTGATAGATTGGATAACTACAACATTTTTTTCCGATTTCGCTTTTTTTCGCCAAATATATTCTACAAAGCATATTTCATTTGCTGGTTAAAAATTCATATATTCAAATGAACAATCAAAAGTAGACTTTTTAAACAGTATGAACATCGGATAACTCTAAGAGCCCCTACTTTCAATTAATCAGTTTTTTTCCTTCTCGAGAAAAATTTACTCAGTGTCCCTTATCCAGTCTTATAATGACAGCAATGATTTCCTAATTAATGTCCATGAGTACAATGTGAAAACCCTCTGACTCTGTATTCATGTATTTCTTTAAATTTGATTTGTCCTTGTCAAAATGTTCTTAGGCTTTTATTGCCTTCATAAACAATAAGTAATAATGCATCACCACTGTTTGTCTCAAAGTTTTCTTCCGTAAACGAATGATTTTCATGGAGACATCTTGAACTGCAGGAAATAATTTTCAAAGGAATGCAAAATTGAATTGTAAGAACACATTTTTAAATGAACCCATACTTGAATTAAAGGAAAGAGATTTCAAATTGTTCAAATAAGTGTCTGCTACAACTATATAATATATTTGTAACACCTACATTTGAGACCTAAAAATTCACAATTGTTAATAAAGACCTTGGCACAGTTATCTCTCTCTCTCTCTCTCTCTCTCTCTCTCTCTCTCTCTCTCTCTCTCTCTCTCTCTCTCTCCTGCAACTTACGTGCTCGTTGTACCCACAACGTTGCCCGACAAAGAAAGAGTTGTTGACTACATTATGGTGGGTAAGACATGCACCTTTGGGGGATCCTGTGGTGCCCTGTTGTTTTTTTGGGGGGAGGGACAGACATGGTGGACATGAGGTTAGGATGACATGATGTTTTGGTTGATAGTCTGTAGGGCAGGTGAAAACAGGATTTTCTTTAAATCTGAGGGGGTAAGGGAAGGGATGAGTTACTAGAGGAAAGGAAGATAAGAAGATAAGGATTAGATCAGAGGACATTTTAGTTCATGGTATATAGACCATAATATCTCTTGTTTGTTTTAGTATTGTTTTACGGCGCTTGCAACGGCATAAGGTCATATGAGTGCCAAGGGGTGGATGTCAACAGAGAAGTCCAAGCGGGGAATCAGGCTTACTCTGCTCACCTCTCTATCCTCAACAGCACAGAGTCTAC